CATGTTATTACAAGCAGCCATCCTTTGGCTTGTCATTTCCTCACAAGGGGCAAAAGCATTTAACTGCTAAACTACAAATCTGTGCAAATCAAGCTACTTCAGTCGCTCCAAAATGTTTTTGTTATCTCTGCCTCTAAAAAAAAATTTTCTTTTTTGCTCTCAAACATATAATTGACTTTTTAAATATTTAATAACGTCGTGAAAGCTTGGATTCTTTCTACGTCAAGTATAAAATTAATCCTTTTCATTTTATTTTATTTTATTTTATTTTATTTTGAGACAGAGTCTTGCTCTGTCACCCAAGCTGGAGTGCAGTGGTACGATCTTGGCTCACTGCAACCTCCGCCACCCGGATTCAAGCAATTCTCCTGCCTCAGCTTCCTTAGTAGCTGGGATTACAGGCGCGCACCACTACGTCCAGCTAATTTTTTGTACTTTTAGAAGAGATGGGGTTTCGCCATGCTGGTCAGGCTGGTCGTGAGCTCCTGACCTCAAGTGATATACCCACCTTGGCCTCCCAAAGTACTGAGATTACAGGCATGAGCCACCGCATCCCGGACCCTTTTCATTTTAGCTCTAAATATTAACACCCTATTTCATAATGATCAAATAAAATGGAAGAAATTCTTCTCCTTTAAAAACAAAATGGTTACTTGAAAACAGATAATGGTGAAACTATTTTTCTGCATATTAAGATAAAAGAGAAAATATATAACAATATAAAACAGAAAATATGTAAAATTTTCCATCATTTTCACAGTACTACCAATTGTATTCAGTGCCACCAATATATTACTTTGGATGACATATGTTAGTAATACCAAAATTAACAAAACCTACAACCACACAGTGACAATTTTAACAATTTAACAATTTTCACAAAACTCCTTCAGAAGCTAAAAGATCAAGTACCAAAAATTGGTAAAGAATAGACAAATGAAAGACAATTAGCAACTGATTACTAATTATACAGATTCCTGCACCAAACAATTAGAAAATACATTCTTTCTAAGACACACAAAGCACATTTAACAAAAATTAATAACATGTTAGGCCACAAATGTCTCAAAAAGTAACAAAGAATTGATAGAACACAGACCACATTCTTCAACCACAATTCTATAAATTAAAATTTTTAAATAAGCAGTTTTTAAAAATCATACATTTGCTATTAAAAAACACTTTTGAATAACTCATGGGTTAAAAAATAAATGTGCATAGCACAAGCACTACACACTGGAAAAAAATATGTACAATATACCACATATGAGAATGTATGGAATACAGCTAAAACAGAACTAAGATAAAAAGTTACAATGTTGATTAAATGTATTAGCAAGCAAGAAAATTAAAAAGCTAATTATTCAAATTTTAAAAAACTACAAAATAACATCAATTAAAGAATTTTTTTTTTTTTTTAATAAAACCTCTTAAACTAAAAACAGACCAAAACTTATTTAGCCTGTTAAGGAGTATTGACCAAATTCTGCTGCAAAATCAGACTCGATGGTAAAAAACTCCAAAAATTTTCTTTAAAGTGAGCAACAAGACAAGAAGGTCCACTATCAGCTCTACTATGCAACACTGTATTGGAGGTCTTAATAAGAAAAAAAACCTTAGCCAGGCTTGGTGGTTCACACCTGTAATCCCAGTACTTTGGGAGGTTGAGGAAGGAGGATTACTTACACCCAGGAGTTCCAGACCAGCCTGGGCAACATAGGGAGATCCCATCTCTACCAAAAAAAAAAAATCACGGGTGTGGTGGCACATGCCTGTGGTCCCAGCTACTCAGGTGGCTGAGTCAGGAGGATTGCTTGGCCCCAGGAATTCAAGGCTGCAGTGAGCTAGGATCGTGCCACTGCATTCCAGAGTAAGACAGTGTCTCAAAAAAAAAAAAATTATATATAAAGATCAAAAGGAAAAACTATAATCATAATTCACAGACAATAAGAGTGTCTCAATTTTTTTAAAAAGGAAATCGCCAGAAAGAATAAAACAGTCCATAAATATGTATACTAGTTGTCTATAGAAGAAAAATGTTAGAAACAAAGGTTTTTTAAACTACGTCATTTGTAATAGCAACAAATAAGTATCTAAAAATAAATTTAACGAAAAGCTCTAAAACATCTTCATGGGTACAATTATAAAATTATCTAAGAATATGAAAGATAGATCAAACAGATCGAAAGATAAATAAACCATGTTCATGCACAGAAAGAATTAACATACAGATGGCAATTCTGCCTAATTAATCTATGTATCCAATGCAATTAAGTCAAAATTCCAGTAGTATTTTATAAAACTTGATATACTGATCCTAAAATTTATATGGGAGAGGCTGGGTGCAGCGGCTCACACCTGTAATCCCAGCCCTTTGGGAGGCCGAGGTGGGGGGATCTCGAGGTCAGGAGATCGAGACCATCCTGGCCAACACGGTGAAACCCCATCTCTACTAAAATACAAAACATTAGCCAGGCATGGTGGCATGCGCCTGTAGTCCCAGCTATTCAGGAGGCTGCAGCAGGGGAATCACTTGAACCCAGGAGGCAGAGGTTACAGTGAGCTGAGATTGCCCCACTGCACTCTAGCCTGGTGATAGAGTAAGACTCCATCTCAAAAAAAAAAAAATTTATATGGGAGAATAGTGATATAAATTTCAAGAAGTAATCTGTGATGAAAAGAAAAATAAGAAGGGGATGGGAAATCTATTGTAGATAAATGGTCAAAGAAGGACTGAGAAGGTGACAGGATCAAAGACCTGGATAGAGGGAGGAAGCAAGTCTTTCAGATGGAAAAATAAAACAGACTACTAGAGCTCATATTGTAAATAAAAACAAATTCCTGATATATATCAGGAATATATATACTTTTACTGTAATTTACTGTAACATAAGCCTTAGTCCTGACTCCCAACAACTTGACTTAAAATATATATATGTATGTGTATATATATATTTTTTAAGTCAGTTCTACACAAGAACTTTCAAGTCAGTTCTACATAAGAATTATTAGGTTTTTAAAAAATTTATTCAATTATTCAAGTAAGGCCATTTTAGCTGATTACAGTTTCAAAACTATATGCATGGTACCATGTTACAGAAAAAGAACACCAATTGTGTCAAGTCCACTGAGAAATCTGGGAAGGGAGAGAAAAAGTGACTATTTTGAGATGTTTTAGCTGACTTCTTAATTGAACTTTGCCAAGTATGAGGTATCCAATCTCCCAACTAAATAAAATAAAGACATTGCCCTAATATCACTGTGGTTACTTAAAATACACTTAAAAATGAATAAATAATGGTCTTGTTCTAGCATAAAGCCTACCTTTATATACAGGGCATTTGTGAACTCAAATGGGAACACAATTATAACCCATTAACTTAATACAGAGCTCCCTCTGCTGGCCCAGAGAATGCACAGTGATCTTAACACTGACAAAGACCCTCTTGTCACTTCAATTTCAATAATGTGTCCTGCCGTTCGGGGAAAAAAAAAATCTCACCCAAAATACCACTGATGTCATAGCATGTCCTATAAATTAGGACTTTGAAGTCTCCATTACCTTAAGAATCTTTTTTTCCCCTTCCTCCTCTCACCGTTTTTTATGGCCTTAAAAATGAATACTTTTACAGAGTGTTTACTATTTGCTTTTTGGTGAAGTGGGCTGAAATAAGATGGGCAGTGAGTTGATCACTGCTGAAGCTGAGTGATATAGGTCCACAGGAGTCATGATATTATTGTGTAATTGTATGTATGTTTTAATTTTCCAAATTTAAGTAACTCCTAAAACAATAAGGAATTTTTTTAAATCTCAAAATAAGTGGCAAATCTGTCAAATCTGTAATCCAAAAGGGAGAATTACAAAACCTGCAAAAGACTGTCTGTGAACAAATTTTATTTAATGTTACTCAGACTGTGACTGCTTAGGTTTTTAAATAGTTCTCTTCATGATTATAATAAAAGATGCATGTTTCTCATTAGACATGCTAAAACTATCCAAGTTCAGAAACTGGAAAGAATAAACAACTCATTGAATTAGCATTTGAATTATGAAAATCACATTTGGAAAAAAATTAATTCTTTGAATAAAAATGGGCACAATTTCCCTAACACGTGCATACACAACACATGCTAACAGGTCGGCCTAGTTGTATTGCACAGTGATTATAATCATCTACATAATTAAACCCCTTAAGACAAGCAGATGATTTAGCACTCAGAGTCAATGAAAAGAACCAGAGGTCAGTAATTCATTACTGCAAAATGAACATACTTTTAAAACAGAAGAGGAGGAGAAGGGCAATCTAGTACATGGCATTTAGTTGATAATTTGTATATCACCAAACATGGGATTTCTAGGGTGCCTTAATCTTGAGTTTAGGGGATGAAACATAAAGCACCACAAGCACTGAATGACACAAGAATTTCACTCTAAGATACGAGCCGAACACAAGGTATTAGGCCTAGTTACAGGCAAAAAAGGATCAGCCAGATATGGAAAGAAGCAGAGATGAGTTTAAAGTAGAAGAAACTGGATGGAACTTTTCAACTTGTCCAGTCATCTTTCATTGACTGACAGTGTTGGTAAACTTGCGTTAGACCCAAACTGTCATGAAAATAAACTGAAGATGTATGTACAGTAAATAACTCAGAATGTCATTACACCTTGATAGGAATTATGCATCAAACAATGCATGTGCTTCCAAAGATCAAGGTAAGGAAGGAAAATAATGACAACATTCAATGAGAAAATGGCTGTTCTGGTTCAAAAGCAAAATCCTTTCTCACTGTTGATGCTTTCTTGACTTTGACTCCACAGGTCAGCTTTCCCCCTCCCCAAACCTCCTGCCCCCATTGCAAACCTCCAAGTTTTCTACTCCTTTGGTTGTGACAAAAGAAAGAACTCAAAGCTAAGCCTGCATAAACCATGAGAATCTGTCTTCTCTGAAATATGTATGCTTGATCTGAGAAGTCAGTGGATTTACTTAGATAAGCCTTACTTTTCATAGTTCCTTCCTCTTCCTCATCCTCTGTATTGATCACCATGGTGCCCAGCTGTGATGGCAACGTGTCATCGTGCTCAATCATAGTATTGGCTCCATCAGTCATGGTGCTGGCTACTCGGACAGTGCCCATCTCATCACCTACTGCTCGAACCATTGTGCCAGAATCCATTTCATCCTCTTCCTGTGAACAGATACAATCTCAAATTGGGGCTAATTTGACAAAAGACTCTGAGTTTTCTGAATAGCTACTACTTAGTGAAAATATTTCGACATTTAACACTTATTCAGGTCCTAAACTCACCTTCCAGAAATGAAAGCACTGTTACTTAAGCAAAGATGACAAACTTATCCACATGATAATAAGCTTTGTATCTAACCCTAAAGGAATTCTTCCTCCATTCTTCTTAATAGAGTTTTGCAACATAGATCTAAGAAACTCATGTGAACATCTTTGGAATCTCAGGGTTGTGAGGAAGTCTATAAATGTAAAAGCTACATGTTAAGTATGGATCCCAGATTCCCTAAAAGGATATGAAAAGCCAAATCCCAGACCTGAGCATTCTCTCTCTAAATAAAAAGTTAAATTGAGTAAAAGATAGGGGGGCAAAAGAGTGAAATTTGAAGGTGTTTTAGGAAGCACTGGGAGAAGAACAAGTACAGATACAGCAACCCTCTAGCATGAGTTGGTCCAGGTTAGGACACAGCTATGCTGGAAGAGTCTCCAGCTCCAAGTTGATCCAATACCTCCTACTCATCTTACCTGGTTTGGCAATCATAAAATAACAAGCATCAATGCCTGAGGCCCACAGCAATGGCTGCCACTCACTGAGTTTTCTTCATCGTCCTGGTCCACTTCCCGCTGCTGGGATTCCTGGCGTTTCAGTTTCACATCCATGGCTTCATTAATTAAGTCTCGCAGTATTGACACTCCTTTGGCACTCTTGACAAATGGGTGCTTAAAGAATAAAGTAAAAAATACTGTGGACAATTTATATGGTGACAGTGCCAAAACAGTACCTAGAATACAGTAGGTACTGGATAACATGTGTTGAATCAATCAATGAATCTGATCTTTCTCTTTGTGCTTTGGACAACAGCTAAACCACACTTCCTTTATAACTCTGAGCAGAGCAAATTCAGTCTTTGCCCATCTTTTTCAGCCTGGCTGAAATGCCTATGCCATTTCTCTCTGTCAAATCTAGCGATTCTCAATAGGGAGTATCATCTCCTGGAGGAAGTTGTGTAAACATGTTGGGAACATGTTATAGCTGTCACAATGTTTGGTGAGCACAAATGGCATGGGACACTAGCAATTCTGCAAAGTACAGAACTGTCCTGTACAACAAGGAACTGTGGCAGATTCTGCACATCTTTCAAATGTCTCAGGTTGTGTACACACCTTAGTAGATAATACCAAAAAAATGTTTTCAAGAGATATGCAAAAAGGCCAGTGATTTGGGAGGTGATTTTAGAGAGGGGAGCTTAATGGAATAAAGAAATTATTTAGAAATCACTGAAAAATCTACTCATCTGACTCGTTCTACGGTAGCATTTCCAACTACACATTTAGGTAAAAAGGATTTTAGTGCAAAAATGCAGTTGCTACAGAAATACTAAACTGATCATATATATGTAACAGATTTTGACCCAAATATTATTCAATCACCAAAGATACTTGAAACAAAGGGATATTGTTCAATTTCATTAATAAAAATTGCTTTATAAGTTTTTAATATTAATACCATCATATGTTTTTATTATTTGTATTTGTAGCACGTGGTAAGAAATCTATGCTGTGAAAGTTACACATGGAAATTCTTTTTGGGGAATTGCCTATTGTCTTCCAAACTTACTCCAATATTGTCCCCATTGTTCCTTGGCAATCCATTCTCTGTTCTCCATCACCCATCAAAGGATACAAGTTCCAAGTAAGAACTCCAGAGATGGAAAGTATACCTCAAAATGTGGTCAGATTGCAATACAGGAGATACATTTCCATGACATTTTGTCACTACCCCATCCAGGTAGGAAAAGAATTTGGCAATCCACTTAGAAATAAGACCCAACTCATTTGCAATAATATACTGCTTTGTTCTTTCGACTTGGAAAAGCTACAAGATCATATCCCACCTTCTGTAATCAGAGACAAATAAATCTGGCCTGTTATTATTTAACATCAGTTTCATGCTAGTGTCCATTCATTCTTTTTACTGTATTTCTTAAATGGCGTAGTTTCTGATTTTCTTTCTTTTTTTTTTTTTTTTTTGAGATGGAGTCTTGCTCTGTTGCCCAGGCTAGAGTGCAGTGGCACAATCTCAGCTCACTGTAACCTCTGCCTCCCGGGTTCAAGTGCTTCTCCTGCCTCAGCCTCCTGCTGGGATTACAGGCATGTGCTACCATGCCCAGCTAATTTTTGTATTTTTTTAGTAGTGATGGGGATTCACCATGTTGGCCACGCTGGTCTTGATCGCCTGACCTCAAGTGATCCGCCTGCCTCAGCCTCCCAAAGTGCTGGGATTACAGGCATGAGCCACTGTGCCTGGCTAGTTTCTGATTTTCTTACAGCTCTTAAATCTAAACTCATTCATGATGCCAGGCACAGGTATCTATTTCATTATGTCTGCAAACTGGGTCAGGCAGAATTATTTGCAAATTGAAAGTCATATTATTTCATTATAAATTATCTTTATTTTTCTCCATCACATCACAGACAATATTGATTCTTTTTAAATTACAGGCATAAAAAGGTTTTATTATATGTGAGTTTCATTCCAAAAGAGTAATGAGAGTTTTTAAATATACACATTGTTATAAAAAGGGGGCACTGGGTCTGAAATGGCTGCAAATGATTGGCCTAGCCCAATTATAATAGCTGATATTTATCAAGTTCATACCATACTGTCTTCAGTACATGTGAACATTGTTCAAAGTAACACACATTATATCATTTAATCATCACAACACATGAGGCAGGTACTGTATCCCCATTTTATAGATCACAAAACTAAAAGAACAGAGAGGTTAAGTTACTTGCCCAAAATCACAAAGCTAGTAAATTGGGAGCCAGGATTCAAACCTGGGCAATCTGACCAGGATCCAAGCTCCTAACCACTAAGCATACTGTCTGCCACATCCCACCTATCCTTCTAGGGCCAGGCCTAGAAGCTACCTACTCCAGGAAAGCACTTTTTGCATCTCCAGTCCAAAAAGGCCTTCTCCCACCCTGAACTACAACAGTACCCACCACTGATCTTAATTCTTTGTCAGACTCAGGTAGACTTGATGGTACCCCTGCTTTGGAATAAAAAAGACCCAAGTTCTAATACTGACTGTGCTATTTACCAGCTGAGTGACCCTAAATGAGTAAACCTCCCTAAGCTTCCGTTTTCTTCATCTATAAAACTGAACTAATACCCACCCTTCACAGGGTCTATGTAATGATTAAATGGCACATGTGCAAAGTATGTGGCGCACAGCAGGCACTCACTAAATGTCAATTCCCTTTCTCTAATTCCATACTGCCCTGTATTTTCTTGCATTATTGTCTTGTTCGATGATTTAACATTATTTTCCATGTCTTTTCCACTCAAATAGATTTGAACCTCCCTAGAGGCAGGCAATGTCTTAAACTTCTTTTACTTTGTTTTTTGAGATAGCATCTCACTCTGTTGCTCACGCTGGAATGCAGCAGTGCAATCATGCCTCACTGCAGGCTCAACCTCCTGGGATCAAGAGATTCTCCCACCTCCCACCTCAGCCTTCCAGGTAGCTGGAACTACAGGCATATGCCACCACACCTGGCTAATTTTTTGCATTCTTTTTGTAGAGATATGGTTTTACCATGCTGGCTGGCCTCCAACTCCTGGGCTCAAGGAATATACCTGCATCAGCCTCCCAAAGTGCTAGGATTACAGGCGTGAGCCACTGCACCCAGCCTCCCTTATACTTCCTTACTATCTCCACGTAGGTGACCTCATGGCATCTTTTGGTCAGTGTGTAAATGAAATGGAGCGAGGCGGCATCAGAGGGTGATTCATACCTGCAGGAGCTGAGTGGCTGTGGCTCTCTGCTCAGGACTCTTTACAAGACACTGTTTCACAAAATCTGTAAAGTTATCTGACCACAGCTCTGGTTTTCGGAATGTGGGAGGAGGATTTGTAGGAATCATGAAGATTGCCTGGTTAGAACAAACAAACAAGCAAAAAGATCTGATAAAATAAAAGTAATGCTCCAATAAAAAAAAAAATACATCTGGAATTACATTTGAAGCTTAGTAAATAATTTTTCACTTATCCACTGAGAGGCTCACCCAAATTCCAACAAAAGTCTAAGCATTTGCAAGTACAAACAAAGCCTGACGGTTAAAGAATCTGATATATCTCCCTCTCTTCTTTTCCCTCTCTCATATATGGGTCTTGTTCCCTAAACCTCACAACATCGATCAAGCTTTATTATTATTATTATTTTGGTAACCACAGTACATTGCCTTTTAAAGTAGAAAGGTGAGACAGAAGAGTATCTACATCCTCAAGATAACCCTGGCCCCATGGTTGTCAAGTTTCCCTGCCTCTTAAAAGTTATTACCACCCCCAGATGTCAGCAGCAGCTACACAATAAAGTCATTAACCAGAAGTCCCAAAAATCACAATGGGGTCATTAACTTCCAAACTAAGCTAAATCAACGTATGTGTGAGGGGGAAAAATTAAAAATTGGCCCACTATGTTGCAGTTACATTCTACTGTTTCCAAAAATAAGACTATTATTTATTAAATTTCCAATTTTAAAAAAGCTATGTTTTTTGAAAAGTAAAACACTATACAAATAAGCAGCTTAAATTATATTATTTAAATCTAAAATTGTAACTAGTAAATCTCCTTGCTCCTTCTCCCAAAAAAGAGGGAGGACTTATCTTGGGAACATGAATTTTTGTAAGTCTCTTAATAGGAGAATTAATCAGAGAAGAGGAAGAGCTGGGGTAGGGAAGGATGGAGAGGACCACAGAGCCCCTGAGGAAGGCAGGGTTGGGGGCGGGTGTTACAACAGTGCTGTGATGAAGGGTTCTGGGACAGTTAAGCCTGGGAACTGCTTAGGGTGTCAGCACTGGAAGAGCTTCACTGGAGATGCATTCCATGGGCCCTTAACATTCTAGAAAGAGATAGAAGTTGGAGAGTACACAGTCTCCAGATGAAGAGAATCTGGGGATCTACAAGCCAGAACTTATAAATTCAAACACCTATAGGGGCCAGGCAGAAGCAAGACAAAAAATGAACAAGGCTGGGTTTCAGTGACATGAGTTCAAAAATACAGTTTGCTTTCTTCTTAACACTACTATAAGAAAAACATTAGAGAAATACTGTAATAAGTGGCAGCTGATACTTGGTGACACAACGGGGAATCATGGAGACTGATAAAGTAGAAAGTTCATACTCTGTATAAAGGAGACAACCACTACTCAGCTCCAGTGAGAATGCTGACATGGTAAAAAGTGGTTGTCCAAACTATTCAAAGTGAGTGAGTGAGTGAGAGTATGTGTGTGTGTGTGTGTGAGAGAGAAAGAGAGAGAGAGTGTAGCGCAAATCAAACTAAGCATTTCTATGGCCTACGTCCTGCCAGAGGGCTATCAATACACCACCTCTGGAATGGAGAGGAGTGGAACACACTTAATGACTACAACTAGAGTCAGTAGAGGTATATCATCTATAGTGACATGAATTACACATAATTCATTTATTGTTTGCAACCTAATCAAGTAAGCCATCGAACTAATTTTTTTTTTTTTTTTTTTGAGAGTCTCACTCTCTTGTCCAGGCTAGAGTGCAATGTCACGATCTCGGCTCACTGCAACCTCTGCCTCCGGAGTTCAAGAGATTCTCATGCCTTAGCCTCCCAAGCAGCTGGGATTACAGGCACAAGCCACCACACCCAGCTAATTTTTGTATTTTTAGTAGAGACAGGGTTTCACCATGTTGGCCAGGCTGGTCTTAAACTCCTGACCTCAGGTGATCCATCCACCTCAGCCTCCCAAAGTGCTGGGATTACAGGTGTGAGCCACAACGCCTGGCTTGAACTTAACTTTTTAATGATGATCAGTAACTAACCACGCCACTGGCTTTCTGTCTACTTCCTTACCCTCATTGGATGGATATCAGCATAAGGGGGCTTTCCTTCAGCCATTTCTATGGCAGTTATTCCCAGGGACCAGATATCTGCTACACAGTTGTATCCAATTTCCTGAATCACTTCTGGAGCCATCCAAAATGGTGTTCCTATCACTGTATTCCGCTTGGCCATGGTATCCTAAAATAGAAAGGGAGAGAGACTGATCTAAGCTTAAAACTACTGAGATGTCTACAGAAAAAAAAAAAGAAGAAAAAAAAAAATATTGAGAAAAAGAGGCTTTTCCAACAATAAAAAAATGCCTTGTACTTGAAATACATATAAAAACTATACTCCGAGCATGATTAAGCAGGCATAGAAGAAATTCAAATGACAAAGAAACACAAAAAGATTCTCAATTATTAAAACACAAACTAAGATTGACAAAAAATTTTAAATTAATAATGCTGATAATAGCATAGAAAATCAGGCACTGAAATACAATGTTACTGCAGTACAAATTGGTACATTTTAGTACATAAGTTGGCAATATTTATTCAACTTTTAAATATTCACATCCTTTGATCCAAATCTATTTCTTGAAATCTATCTTATGTTCAAGTGTTCCAAACTATATGCACAAAGACTGTAGAAATGTCTGTAATGGGGGGATGAGGCGGAAAAGGAAACAACTCAAATGACCATCAAAAGATAAGAAGTTAAATATAATAAATAACCGTATACTGAACCACCACATTAAAAAGAAAAAAAATGAAGATATATACCTTTTCCTAGCATGGAAAAAATGCACAACATACATTATTACAAAGTAAAAAAAAGTTGTAAAATTATATGTAATATAGCCCTGTTTTTGTAAAAGGAATATATATATATAATAATGATGATCATAACAATAATAAAACAATTACCAGTAATAAGAAATGTTGTTATATCATAGTACAAAAAATCTGGAGTAATACATACTAAACTATTAATAATAGTTATATCTAGTAGGCAGAACCACTAAAGGTTTTTACCCTCTATCCTGTATACATCTGTAACATTCTGAAAGTTTACATGAGCATACATATGCAGTAAAAAAATTTAAAAATTGATACATAAAAAATAATATACAAAATATCTTAGTTTGTGGCCTAAAGAAGAATATGTGGATATAGTACACATTACAGCAAATAACCACTTGCATACTTTCTCAGGATAGCATGGCCCTACTGAAAGAGAACCTCCCTACAGTTCCTATGCTTTGGCAAAAGAAAGAATTTTTTTTTTTTTTTTTTTTTTGAGAAAGAGTTTTGATCTTTTTCCCAGGCTAGAGTGAAGAGGCACAATCTCGGCTCACTGCAACCTCCGCCCCTGGGGTTCAAGCAACTCTCCAGACTCAGCCTCCTATGTAGCTGGGATTATAGGCACCCACCACCATGCCCAACTAATTTTTGTATTTTTAGTAGAGACAAGGTCTCACTACGTTGGCCAGGCTGGTCTCGAACTCCTGACCTCAGGTGATCCACCTGCCTTGCCTCCCAAAGGGGATTACAGGCATGAGCCACCACGTCCAGCAAAAGAAGGATTTTTAAACAGAACTAAATACAAGAAAGGATTTCCAATCATGATCACTGATATTCCTTCTGAAATGCCTGTGACTTAGGTTACGCCAGTCAGAAGCAAATGACAGGTCATTTAAATCAATCTCATTGTCAGTCCTATGTAAAAAATTAACACAGGAACTAACTTACTGCTTAGTCATTTCCTTAGCTCTGAAACTTCAAATTTGCAGGGGTGTTTTCAAATGGTGGCAAAGTTGTTTTCACTGGATTATTTCAATTAGAAATGGTTACTTGCATAGCTAGAAAGTTTTTGAAAATTATTAAGAGTAATGATTGTACACTAACCCCACTTAGATTTGTATTATAAAGTTATATTAGTACAATAGCATAGCAATAAAAAATATAAAGTTCGGAAGTTGACTATGGCATATGCGTGTGTATATACATGTGTGTGTGTATATATATCATATATATGTGCTATATAAAACTTGTTATATATATGCACATATATACATGTTATATATATATAGCACACATATATAATATGATTTATGATTAAAATGTCATTTAAAATCAGCAAGCAAAGAACAGATTATGAAAAAAAAGCACTGGGAATCTAGTTAGTCATTTGTAGAACTCTACACTTAAATGCCTACCTTATACTTTCACCAAAATAAGCTCAAATAAGTTGAAATTTTAAACATAAAAAACAAAGCCCAAAGAATACTTTTAAAAAGTACATTAGATGGCCAGGCATGGTGGCTCACGCCTATAATCCCAGCACTTTGGGAGGCAGAGGCGGGCAGATTGCCTGAGCTCAGGAGTTCGAAACCAGCCTGGGCAACATAGCAAAATCCCATCTCTACTAAAAGTACAAAAAATTAGCCGGGTGTGATAGCAGGCACCTGTAATCCCAGCTACTCGGGAGGCTGAAGCACGAGAATCGCTTGAACCCGGGAGGCAGAGGTTACAGTGAACCAAGATTGCGCTACTGTCCTCTAGCCTGGGTGTCAGAGCGAGACTGTCGCAAAAAAAAAAAAAAAAAAAAAGTACATTAGCCAGGCATGATGGCGCACGCCTGTAGTCCTAGCTGCTTGGGAGGCTAAGGTGGGAGGATCACTTGAGCCCAGAAGTTCAAGATTATAGAGAGCTACAATCATGCCACTGCACGCTAGCCTGGGCAACAGAGCAGGGGTGGTGGCTCATACCTCTAATCCCAATACTTTGGGAGGCTGAGGCAGGAGTTCCAGAATAGCTTGGGTAAAACAGGGAGAGCCCATCTCTACAAAAAAATTTAAAACTTTAACTGGGCGAAGTGGCACACACCTGTAGTCCTAGCTACTTGGGAGCCTGAAGCAAGAGGATCGCTTAGGCCCAGGAGTTTAAGACCCAAATGAGCTATGAACATGCCACTGTACTCCAGCCTGGGTGCCAGGGCAAGACCTTGTCACAAAAAAACAAAATAAAATAATAATAAAAAAAACTATAGATAAATTGTTCTATAATGTTAAGGAGAAAAGGGTTTTTTAAGCATGACATTAAAGACAGAAACCATAAGATAAAAGGTAGATGGATTTTTCTGTACAAAATTTGGAAACTTATGTAGTATTTTTTTTAAAAAGCCATAATCAAAATTAAAAGACAACTAGTAAACTAGAAGAAATTTCAGCATGTAAAAAAAAGGAGTAACAATTTTAACAAATTTTTTTAGTTTTGGTTTATCTTTTTTAATAGATTTATTTAAAAGATGCAACACTCAGTCAGGCACAATGGCTCAAACCTATAATCCCAGGACTTTGGCATGCCAAGGGGGTCAGATTGCTTGAGCTTAGGAGTTTGAGACCAGCCTGGGCAACATGGTGAAACCATGTCTCTACAAAAACTACTAAAAATTAGCTGGGGGTGGTGGTGTGTGTCTGTAGTCCCAGCTACCCAGGAGGCCAAGGTAGGGGGATCACCTGAGCCTGGTGGTTGAGGCTGCAGTGAGCCGTGATCATGTCACTGCACTCCAGGCTGGGTGACAGAGCAAGAACCTGTCCCAAAAAAAAAAAAAAAAAAGGGTCCAACATTCAATTAGGAAAACTGACACACACAAAAATGAACATCTGCAAACAAATTGTTATAAATGGCCAATAATCAAATGCAAAAATATGTGAATTGCTTTGAGAAATAACAAGAAAGATACAAGTTACTGCCCATTCAGCATTAGCAAATATGAAGGGAAAAGAGCACATTTATATACTGAAGTTGGAAACTGAAATTGTTCACTTCTAGAAGAAATTCAGCACTATGCGTCAAAAGCACTTTGCCAATATACATTCATCTATTTTCTGACCCAGATTCCAATGTAAAGAAATTATCCTAAGGATTTACTCAAGGAAATGCTGCCAAATTTAGTTGCAGGAATGTTAATCACCGAATTTATGCTTATAGTGGTGGGAAAACTCTAAGCAACCTTAATGGGTACCCAACGTCCAACTGTAGGGAAAGAGTTAAATAAATCATGCTATATCCATACAATGAAATAGCCATGTTGCCACCAGAAATAATATTACAGAGTCTTGGGTAAAGATGACAGCTTCAGCAAATACATTTTACTTTCACTCTCTCTCAAAACTCACTCAAAAAGATACTAAAAAGATTGTTTTTTAAGAATAAATCTAGAAGAATAAAAAAACAAAGGGGAAAACAACCACAGACACAAAATTTTAAAAGCTGGAGAGCAGATGGCCCAGTAGTAACTAACTAAACACACTATAAGATGGAATCCTGAGTCAGTCACCAGGAAAACTAGGAAACAACCTGATTTTAACACCAACCCCTCCAAAAGGCTTAGAAATTGGTGGCATCAGGTAGAGAAAAGAGGGGTGAAAACGGACATCCAAATAGGAAGCCTGGGTTGAAAGAGTTAAGAAGCAGCTAAGCACCCTAAACCCTCCTCTCCCATCAAGCAACTAGTGGGCTTCCCTCGCCCCACCCTGGCATTAGACTGGAGGTGTACTCTCTGGGGAGGGAAACCGAGGATCTCTAGACCACAGAGAGTGTGGGTGGTGTTGTGAATCAGGAACATTAAATGACCATTAACAGCTAACAATCCCCACCGCCACCACTTCCCAGAAGGCTGCCAGCAAGGCCTACAGCCTCTAGAGAAGAGACCTGAGAGAGGCCTAAACTTAGTAGTACTGGAGGTTTCACAACCAAACAGCCAAGTCAGATCATCTTATACTACAGTTTCAGTTTATTTTAGTGAAGGAAAAAAAAAATCTCCTTTTTTTTTTTTAACACAACATACACGATCACAGTTCATTAAAAAAAAAAAAAAAAACAAGTACAGCAAGGTGCCAGGACACAAGATAATATACAAAAATCAATTGTATGTTACACTAGCAATGAACAATCTGAAAATAAGGCAAATCCATTTAAAATAGCATCAAAAAGTACAAACTACTTAGGAATGAATTTAACCAAATACATGCAAAACTTGTACACTGCAAATTATAGAACACTGCTAAAAGAATTAAAGAAAATCTAAATAAATGGAAAGACAGCTTATGTTCATAGACTGGAAGACAATATTGCCAAAATGACAGTATTTTCAAGCTGATTTAAGATTCAAAACAATGTCTACCAAAATCCCAATGGCCTTTTCTGCAGAAATTGACAAGCTGATCCTAAAATTTATGTGGCAATACAAGGGACCCAGAATAGCCAAAACAATCTTGAAATAGAAGGACAAAGTTGGAACACTCACACTTAACCAATTTCAAAACTTACTTCAAACTTACAGTAACCAAGAGAGCATAGAACTGGTGCAAGGACAGACATATAGGTCAATGGAAGAGAATTGAAGGCATAGAAATAAACTCATACATTTCAAGAAAGAAAAAACAGTCTTTTCAACAAATGTTGGAACAACTACATATCAACATGTAAAAAGAATGAAATTGGATTCCTATCTCACACCATGAAAACTAACTCAAAACAGATTACAGATCTAAACATAACAGCTAGAACTATTAAATACTTCAGAGAAATCATAGGAGTAAATCTTCATGACCCTGCACTAGCTAATGATTTCTTAGATGTGACACCAGAAGCATAAGAGACAAAAGAAAAAAGAAATTGGACATGACCAAAATTTAAAAATTTTATATTTCAAAGGACACCTTCAAGACAACCCACAGAATGAGAGAAAATATTTGCAAATCATGTACATAAGGGACTTATATCTAAAATATATAAAGAACTTTTAAAATTCAACACTAACAAGGTAAAAACCCAGTTAAAAATGGGCAAAAGATTTAAATAGACATTTCCCAAAGATACACAAATGTCCAATAAGCAGAAGAAATGACAATCAACATCATTAGTCATTAGTAAAATGCAAATCAAGACCACAAAGAGATACTACCTCTTACTCACTAGGATAGTTATAATCAAAAACACAAAAAAGAAAATGTTGGCAAGGATGCAGAGAAGTTGGAATTCTCATACCTCAGCCAATTTGGAAAACAGTTTGGCAGTTCCTTAAAAAATTAAATATGGAGTTACCATGTGACCCAGCAACTCTGTGTATCATATGAAAACAAAGATCCACACAAAAACCTGTACACAAATTTCATAGTAGCATTATTCCTAACAGCCAAAAAGCAAAACAATCTAAGTGTTCAACTAATGAATAAGTAAACAAAATGTGCTACAGCCACAATGGAATACTACTGAGCAATAAAAAGGAATGAAGAATTGATGCATGTTACAACATGGATGAACTCGAAAACATTAAGTTTTCGAAGCCAGAAACAAAAGGGCACATTGTGTATGATTCTATTTATACAAAATATTCAGAATAGGCAAATCCATAGTGACAGAAAGCAGATTAGTGGTTGTCAAGGGCTGGGAGGAGGGTGGGGACTAACAGCTAAAGGGTACAGTTTGAGGATGATGAAAATGTTCTGGAATTAGACATTGGTAATAGTTGCACAATTTTGTGAATATACTAAACACTAAATTGTACAAATTAAAAGGGGAGAAAAATTCTGCCAAGGCAGGCATTATAGCAATAAGAACACTGTATGTCATTATTGGGTATTCAATCAATTACTAAAATTATTACTAAATGGAATGGATACTCATATATATACACACACAAATAGGTATACCTATATGTATGTGTACATCATATATACATACATACATATGTATATATACATATATATGTGTACATATATATGTGTGTGTGTATATACACACACACACATACACATACACTTTTTTTTTTGAGATGGAGTCTCACTCTGTTGCCCAGGCTGGAGTGCAGAATGCAATGGCACAACCTCCCAGGTTCAGCCTCCCACGTAGCTGAGATTACAGGCGTGTGCCACCACGTCTGGCTAATATTTGTATTTTTAGTGGAGATGGGTTTCACCATGTTGGCCAGGCTGGTCTCGAACTCCTGACCTCAAGTGATCCTCCCACCTCAGCCTCCCAAAGCGCTGGGATTACAGGCATGAGCCACTGCACTCAGTCAATATTATATTATTTTATAGACCACCAGAGTATGTACTTTTTCAGTTTGGTTTCCTTACTAAGATTGTGGTTTAGATAATATTGTCTGGTACTGTTTACTTGTGTGTTAACAACAAAACCTTTTGGAGAGCCCATAAATCATAATATTGAATAAGGTTCTGATTTATTTTAAACATTGAAGCAGTTTCTGTGCTGTTACAATACCTGAGACTCCCTAACATGTCCCAGGCAGACTTATAATAAAAAAATAAAAATAATTTTAAAAAAAACTGTACATAACACCAGTTCTAAACATACACTATACATATTCATTCTATTACCCAAGAAAATCACTTGATATATAATATTGTTGCAAATTTTAGAGTATACCTCCCTAGAACTGTTTCTATTTTTCTATATATACTTTCGTATATACTTATGTATTTTATAGAATCCAATAATTCTGGACTTCCTATTTTGAAAACAAGTTTTTTTTTCTTTTTCACTTCCACGCACTAGTTAGGCAGAATAATCAAGAGACTGTATCCTGGACTCAAATGAAGAGTGTTTCAGTACAGTAACTGCCAAGTACTACCTGGAAGATGAATGAGATGATACTATGTCTTAGCCAAGGAAAGCAGTTTGGACTTAATTTTTCTTTCTTTTATAAATATGTTGATGTAGTCCACTAGAGTAATCTATCATTTCTTGTTTTATTTTTCATCTTTATAAAAGTTAAACAAAGTTAAGCTATGTGACCTGAACCCCAGGAAAAGATCTAAAATAACCTACAGACTAGCTCTTTTGTAACCTATTGGCAGATTCTGTAATTTCTTACTAATACAATTAAGTCAAGTATTATATTTTTAAAATAGGCAAATAAAAGGAACTGCTTCTCAGGACAGAACTGAAAATTATCAATACAAGTAATATTTTTACTTACTGTAAGTTGACCTGCTACCCCAAAATCTGCAAGTTTTGCGTGTCCTTCTGTATTTAGCAAAATATTTCCTGCCTTGATATCTCGGTGTATTTTTCTCATAAAATGAAGGTATTCAAGTCCCTTAAGAGTTGATTGTAATATTGTAGCTATTTCATCTTCTGTTAACTGAAAAAAGAATAAGAGTTCAAATTCTATAAGTTTACATCAGCACATTAGAAAAAGGAGAAAAAATCAGATCCAAACACCTGTCTTTAATAGAAACAGATCTTATTCGACCTGTGAACAGCATTTGACTGCTTATACCATAGATACACTGACCACTCCCAAAGCTATATTTCCATACCAGATCTCCCCTCACTCAGATTTATGTATCTGCCTACACAACATCTCCAACTAGAATACCTAGCCAGCATCATAAGCATAACATGTCAAAATCAAATTCTATGTCTACCACCTTACCCCTCTCCCTTGATCCATCCAACCTACTCTACTTCTCCCACAGTCCTCTCTCTCTCAGCAAAAGGAAACGTTATTCTTTCAGTTGCTCTGGTCAAAAACCTTGAAGTCATCCTTGACTTTTCTCTATCTTCGAAATACTGTATATCCAAATACACCCTCTGTAATCACCATGGTCCAAGTCACCATCGTGTCCTGCCTGCACTATTCTCATAATCTGCTGACTGGTTTCTTTGCTTCTGCTCTTGACACTCTACGATGTATTTTCCACACAGAAGCTATAATTAAAATGTAAGCCAGAGTCAAAACTTACCAATGTCTTCCTAACTCACTTAAAATAAAAGTCAGTCCTTACCAAGGCTTTACATGATCTGGCTCCCAGCTACCTCTTTAACTTCATCTTCTACCACTTTCTACCTGGCTCAATCTGTTTCAACAAGGGCTTGCTTCCTTTCTGTTCCTCAAACACTCTAAGCACACTCCCCTTTCTGGGCCTTTTCAACTGCCTATTCTCTTCATCCTGATGTCTATCCAATTTGCTTCCTCAGTTTGCAATCCGCCCAAATATCACCACCTCAGAAAATGGACGGGACTTTCTTACTCCATTTCTAGCTCATTCTCTATTCCCTTAAATTACCTTGTCATTGCAGTATACTACCATCTGACATATTACTCATTATTTATCTATTTATGTGATGTCTTCCCTGCTGGAAACACAAGCTCCTAAAAATGTCTGTTTTGTTTACTTTTGTTTCCCTAATACCAGTAAAGCCACCTGGCACACAGTAGGCACTGAAAAAAATATCTGTTGAATGATGATAAATAAATGAAAGTTAGAATGCTAGAAACTAGTATAGAATGTCTCATCTGTCCAATATAGACTTTCTGCAGACCCAACACCAGTCCTAAACAAACTCAATCACCAAACTGTTACACGGTTCCCCTTCTGACGAACAACTCACACGTGAAAACGAGTGTGCTCTGCTGCAAAAACTGTAGGATTTGGGATTAGGAAGATGTAGCCTTTACTCCTGGCTCTACTTTCATGTGACTTAAGCAAGTTACTGACTTTATCTTAGCCTGTTTCCCAATCTATAAAATAGGAATATAACTTTTCTTTAAGAGTGTCATGAAAATCAATTAATATAAGGTGTCATAATTTAACACCTATATTATCAATCAATATTTAATAAGCACCATGTACTATGCTAATAATATGAAAAACAGCCAAGCACAGTGGCACATGCCTGTAATCTCAGCACTTTGGGAGGCTGAGGCAAACAGATCACTTGAGGCCAGGAGTTCAAGACCAGCCTGGCCAACATTACGAAACCCTATCTCTACTAAAACTACAAAAATGAGCCGGGCGTGGTGGCAGGCACCTGTAATCCAGCTACTCAGGAGGCTGAAGCAGGAGAATTGCTTGAACCTGGGAGGTAGAGGTTGCAGTGAGCTGAGATTGTGTGCACTCCAGCCTGAGTGACACAGCCAGACTCTTTCTCAAAAATATATAAATAAATAAATAAAGGCTAGCCGTTACTAAGTGTTTAATCTATGCTAAGCACTATGTTTGTAATCTTATTTCATCCTTACAACAATTAAATGAAGTGGAGGAACTATTATTATCATCATCATTTTATACATAATGAAGCTGAGGCACAGACAAGTTAAGTCATTTATGCCAAAGGTCACAGAGAAATGATAAAGCTTTCACTAAAGTCCAGGCAAACACTATTGGCAAGGTAGTAGGCTACAGTCTGGGGTACCTTCTATAGTGGAAGAGAACAAAGCTCATGACTTGACTTACCACCTCTTTATTCTAACCAGCTAAGCTAATCAGTTAAAGTAGCACTGCCTAATAGAAATATAATGGGAACCACAAATATAATTTCTTATTTTTTAGTAGCCACATTGAAAAAGGAAACAAGCAGGCGCAGTGGCTGGTGCTATAATCCCAGCTACTCAGGAGGCCGAGGCACAGTAGTTCCAAAATACAGTGATCTATGATCACACCACTGCACTCCAGCCTGGGCAATAGAGGAAGACTCTATCTTTATAAAAAAAAAAACAAAAAAAGAAAAAGAAGAAGAAGAAGAAAGAATTAATTTTGATAATCTGCTTTACTTAACCATATTTATCCAAAATATTATCACTCCACCATGTCATCAATATGAAAAAATTAAAGACTTTTGTTTACAATATTTTTGGCAATAATTCTTCAAACTCTGGTGTATAATTTATATTTACAGCATATCTCAGTTCAGACTAGCCACATTTTAAGTCCTTAATAACCACATGTGGCTAGTGGATATCACGGTGGACAGGGCAGGGTTATAACATTTGGCAAAATAACGTGTAGTAATTAAAAATCAGCACTTAGGCTGGGCACGGTGGCTCATGCCTATAATCCCAGCACTTTGGGAGGCCGAGGCAGGCAGATCACGAGGTCAGGAGATCAAGACCATCCTGGCTAACATGGTGAAACCCTGCCTCTACTAAAATTACACAAAAAATTAGCTGGGCATGGTGGCGGGTACCTGTACTCAGGAGTACAGTTACTCGGGAGGCTGAGGCAGGAGAATGGCATGAACCCGGGAGGCAGAGCCTGCATTGAGCCGAGATCACACCACTGCACTCCAGCCTGGGCAACAGAGTGAGGAGACTCCGTCTCAAAAAAAAAAAAAGGCGCTTAGTAATTAAGTTAAAATTTACTTAAATATAATAATCTACTATTATGACGGCAAAAAAAACAATTAAAAGTGCCATCAAAATTAACTTTGGACTGGTTTAAAATACCTGAAATAAATTGACTTAATGCTGTATATAAGAAGCCCTGAAGTCCAATGTTTAATTCAATAAATTATTCCAGTTTTGGAACTTCTTTACATATATCTTATGTTAGGATATTATTCCTAAAGAACTTGTTATTTGTTAAGCAAACACACTAATTCTGAATAATGTAAATTAAGAAGATAGTATATGAATAATCCAAAAGTTATAACTCAGTTTTAAAACACCCTTACCTTATAATTTATGTAGCACCTCACAATTTACAAAGTACTTTTACACATTTAAATTAATTTTCCCAAGTTTGCAAATATGTAATATAGGTATTATTATTATTAGTTTTCTTATTAAGACAAACTAAAGGCTAAGATTTTCCCTGTTTCTCCTCTTATCCACACACAATGTACACAGAGGTCAGAGTTCTCTTTTTTATTTTTTGAAAACAGAGTCTTGCTCTGCTGCCCAGGCTGCAGTGCAGTGGCGCAGTCACAGCTCACAGCAGCCTTAACCTCCTGGACTCAAGCAATCCTCCCACTTCAACTCCTAACACACCCCAAAAGTTAGCTGGGACTACAGGCACATGACACCACACCTGACTTTTTTCTTTTTTCTTTTGTAGAGACGGGGTCTCACTATGTTGCCCAGGCTGGCCTTGAACTCCTAGGCTGAAGCAATCCTCCACCTCAGCCTCCCCAAGTGCTGGGATTACAGGCATGAGGTACCACACCTAGCCCCAGAGTTATCTTTCCAAAACATACATCAGATGGCTCACTCACTTGCTTAGAATCCAGCAATGATTTCCTATCATACTTGGGATAAAATTCAAACTCATTCCCATGACCTACAATATCCAGTACAGTCTAGCCCTGCCCACCTGTCAAACCCCATCTCCTACAGCTTCTCCTTTGCCTATTCGCTTCTAGTCACGGTAGCCCTTCTATCACTCAGACATGCCAAACTCATTCCAGCCTCAAGGTCTTTGCACTGGTTACTGCCCACCTACAATGTTCCTTCAGGACTCTTAGCCCCTTTTTGTCATTTGAGTCTTTCTGTAAATGTCACCACTTCTGAGTGACCTTCCTCAACTACTCTAAAATAGCCCACCAGTCTCCACAACTTTACCATCACTTCACCTTCATTCATTTTCTTCATAGCATATATCATTATTATATCTTTTCTATTAATAGTTACCATTAATTTGCTTTTGTTGCCCTATTCCAAAGTGCACTATCATGACAGTAGAGTTGTCATCTGTTTTATTTACTATTAGATTCCTCAGGCCTAAAGCAGTGTTCAAGAAATATTTACTGAATGAATACATACAGAGATTAAGTAATTGAACCAGAACTAGAACCCATGACTCTTAGGTCTTATACTGGCAATCACAGTAACAGCAAATAATCTTTCATAAGGGGATTATTCTCTGATTAACAGGAAATAGAGGAAGTTAATCTGTGAACATGCTAGGTAGAAGCAGAAACCCAAATCCAAATCCAAATGTAAACATTTAGAATTCATTCTATAACCAAGATTTAACAGACACTTTTTTTCCCAGTAAGAAATAACCAAAGCATGCTAAAAATCACTGGACTAAATTGGTGTCAAAACTGCCACATTGCCAGGCATGGGCGGGTCACACCTGTAATCCCAGCACTTTGGGAGGCTGAGGTGGAAAAATTGCTTGAGGCCAGGAGCTCGAAACCAGCTTGGGCAACATAGTGAGACCCTGTCTCCACAAAAAAAAATTAAAAAACAAACAAAACATGAGCTTGGCATGATGGTACAAGTCTGCAGTCCCAGCTACTCAGGAGCCTGAAGTGACAGGATCACTAGAGTCCAGGAGGTAGAGCTATAACTGTAGTGAGCTATGACTGTGCCACTACACTCCAGCCCAGGTGACAGGGGACTCTTGTCTCTTAAAAATAAAAAGCTGTCACACTTAGGAGACATAAAAGAATAAAGACAGAAGAGATTCATGGAAAAGGGGAAATGTGACAGTTGTCTCTCTAGTAGGAGAATGCACTGAAAAAGAGGCAGAAAAAAGATAGCATAAGAAACTAGCTCAGCTGCATTGTTCTAGAAGGTAAACTTACCGTTTTATTTCGTAATCGAATGATATCAGATACAGAACCAGCCCCACAGTACTCCATAACGATCCATAAGTCTGTGTTCTTAAAATAACTGCCATAATATTTGACTACATGAGGGCTAGAGAGAGAGAGACAATACAAATTAATAAAATGGCCTTCAAACATCTCTTAATTCAAGCTATTAAGTATAGAAAAATTAATTCCTCATCTGGAAAGATCAATTATTCATAGTTAAGGACAAAATGGGCAACCTCCTGATAATGCAAAATGGTATAGCTTTTCCGGAGGGTAATAAATCACAGAAGTATAAAAAATCGGTGGCTCCTTTAACCAGCATTTCTATGTCTACAATTTACCCTCAAAAAAGAATTATAAATGTTCAAAAACCAACAGTTACCGTCATAGTACTATTGACAAAAGTAGAAATTTAGATAACATCTAAATGTCCATCCAACATTAGGGAATTTATTTAAGAACTAATGATACAGGGCCGGGTGCAGTGGCTCATGCCTGTAATTCCAACACTTTGGGAGGCCGAGGCGGCGGATTGCCTGAGCAAGATGGTGAAACCCCGTCTCTACTAAAATACAAAAAATTTGCCAGGCATGGCAGCGTGCACCTGTTGTCCCAGCTACTGGGGAAGCTGAGGCAGGAAAATTGTTTGAACCCGGGAGGTGGAGGTTGCAGTGAGCCGAGATGGTGCCACCGCACTCCAGCCTGGGCAACAGAGCAAGACTCCGTCTCAAAAAAAAAGAAAGAATGATATAGCCATATAATAAAATATCATGAATCCATGAAAAATGTTATAGAGGAGTATATGAGAAGACATCGTGTTTACAAAAACAAACACACAAAAAAGCAGGCTACAAAACAGTAATTATTATAAAACTCCAAAGAGATTTGGAAGAATACGTGTATCAAGGAGTATTTAAGAATGATGATTTCGGGCAGGCGCGGTGGCTCACGTCTGTAATCCCAGCACTTTGGGAGGCTAAGGCGGGCGGATCACGAGGTCAGGAGATGGAGACCATCCTGGCTAACACGGTGAAACCCCATCTCTACTAAAAATACAAAAAATTAGCCAGGCATGGTGGCGGGGCCTGTAGTCCCAGCTACTTGGGAGGCTGAGGCAGGAGAATGGTGTGAACCCAGAAGACGGAGCTTGCAGTGAGTCGAGATCATGCCACTGCATTCCAGCCTGGGCAACAGAGTGAGGAGACTTCATCTCAAAAAAACAAACAAACAAAAAGAATGATGATTTCTCCAAAGGGAAAAGTGATTTTCTTTTCTTTTCATTTGAATTCTTCTAAGAAGTCATATGTACTTTGTAATAAAAACATACACACACTACAACCTATTATAAAGAAAAAATGTTCAGTATCAAACCTGGAATTTTAGGTCTCAAGCTGGAAGAGAGATACCAAACAAGAAATTTCAGAGAAAAATCAAATATCCTATTAAAATAAAATAATGTGCCCTCTGAGAACTGCCAGCTTTAACTGGCTAGATGGTTATCATGGTCAAATAAAGTTTCATAACAACTGATGCTAAAACCAAATTGGCTTCATTAACTCAGAACTCAGAATTTCCTCTTCAAACCTCGGGAAACATGCCAGTGACAAGGACAGCAAAACACACACACACACACACACACACACACACACAGTCACAAGGACAGCAAAACATACATACACACACACACACACACACTAAATATTAATGAAAAAAGTGACTAAGGTAAATATCAACACATTTACTCTCCCTATAATACAGTACTGATGGGAGTTAAATACTGCAGGCCATTACTATCAAGTATTTACTACTGAAATATGTTCTCTATAGTCTTGCATTGTTGGCTAGATTCTCCTCCCTACACATATATATATATGTGTGTGTGTGTGTGTGTATATATATATATATACTTAGCCTGTCCAATTAGTCTATAAGCTCCCAGAGCACAAGGGCTCTGCTCTGTATTTCACTGTATTCCTTACAGTGCTTAGCACAGGGTAGACTCTTATCTCTTCTTTAATTAAAGACATTTCCATACTCTGTTTGGAACACAGCTCCTACACAGTCTATCGAAAGTGACTAAGTCCCAATTTGCCAAATGGAAAGAACTTCCAAAATGTATCTGAAAAAGGAGCAAATGGAAAACTGCCACCTTCATCTGGTCAATCCAATCAAGAAAAATGGGGATTTTATCTAGTAGACAATAATCACAAAAATAGAAGGAAAAAAAAAAAAGGAGGGAGAGAGAAAAAAAAGGACTACATTCCCAAGTCTGTGAGACCGAAAGGCTTCTGGACTCATTTTCTAGTAGGTAGCTCCATCTAAACCCTAATGTAGAAGTTTTGCAAACAGGGGGTACTAAGTTGATCTGCTGACCAAAAAGCCTTCAGAAGAATGAATGCAGCTTCAACTGAGAGAATTTCTCACCCATCTTCAACTAACTAGAACTGGCATTGCCCCTAACTTTGTGTTTGTCTCTAATCTAAATAGTGCTGGGGAAGCCTGCTCTATCAGTGACCAACCCGTGTTGTCACGGAATTTCAGAGCAAACCACGTGGTTTTCTGTGGTCGTCTTTTGGTCTGACTTCCTGCTTACAACATTTGACAAATCTTAGTTCCTCAAAAATAAATACTTAAGTACTCTCAGCTGGAATAATTTTTTTTAATGTGAAGGAACAGACAGTAGTATATACATAACTACTCTTTTTTTATAGATTTACCTGGTATTCTAAGGTTTCTAGAACTAAAAAACATTTGAATTATCTGTTCTTAGCTATCTCTGCAGAAATGTCTTCTCAATAGGAAGTAAAAAAGATCATTATCACAAAAAAAAAAAAAAAAAACAAGCACCACCTTCTGCCTCTTCTTCCTAGTGTCTAAAAGGGCTCACTGAAAAAAAGAAAAAAACCAGGCCTGGTAGCTCACTCCTGTAACCCCAGTACTTTGGGATATGGCCAAGGCAGGCAGATCATTTACGGCCAGGAGTTTGAGACCAGCCTGACCAATATGGTGAAACTCTGTCTCTACCAAAAATACAAAATTAGCTGGGCGTAGTGGCACATGCCTGTAGTCCCAGCTACTCGGGAGGCTAAAGCACAAGCATCGCTTGATCCTGGGAGGTGGAGGTTGTAGTGAGCCGAGATTGCGCCACTGCACCCCAGCCTGGGCAACAGAGTGAGACTTCGTCTCGAAACAAAAAAAAAAAACTGAAAAAAAACAAAAAAATAAATGCCATGCATAAAAATTATGGAAGTTTGGCTACAAAAACAACCATTTTCATCATATTTTTTTCCAAAAAGAAAATGCAGTGATTCCATCGAATTCTCCCTTCTGCAAAATATCTAAGTAAATGTGTCTCTAGGTGTCAAACTCTAAACAATCATAGCAAATTCAAAACCACATTCTCCCCAAAGGAAGCCCACAGGCCTTTACCTGTCACATTGCTGCATTATAGAGATTTCTTTGATTATCTCCTGCAGGTCTGATTCCACAGGAACTTGCTTAATAGCAACAATCTGACCTGTCTCTTTATGAATAGCTTTGTATACGCTGCCATAGGACCTATACATTTGGGAGAAGAAGAACATTTATAAAGTCAAAGCAAGCCAAGATATAAGAAGTGGTAAAACACAAGCAACTGATAGTTCTAACATACATCCCTAAGTGCCTAATACATACACACTTGCAAAACTAAGATAGCTGAAATACTTTGGGGGAAAAACTGTCAAGAGAACTACAAGAAAACGGCATCTTGAAAGCTTCACATTCAAAACTGTGAAGAATGTATTATTATGGGATGGTAATATAGTAGCTGCCATGCACTTCACGCCTGCTATCTGCTAGAGACAGTATACCATCTCAATTCATTCTTCTAAAAAACGAAGATGAGATGATTATCCCTATTTTACAGGTAAATGTAAAAAGGTTCAAAGGAGTCTATGATTTGCCCAAAGTCACATAAGTTTTCAGTCCAGGATTTGAAACCAGTTGTGCTTTCAGTCCAGTATTTGGACCCAGGTGAGTCTGAAAACAAAGCTTACATTCTTTCCACATCTATACTGGGGTACGATATGGAAGTGGCAGTCTTTGTTTTATTACATTCACTCTAGAACCACAAGATCTTTCTGTCCTTGCTCCTCTTACTTACAATAATACTTAAAATATTATGGAAACTAATTAAAATCTAAGCCTGTTTAATGTTAGTATCAAGTAAACACAGCACACACACTCTTTGCTTCCTACTCCATCTTCCCTTAACAGCTTAATATCAAAATAAAGTTTATGTACCTAGTCAATTTGGAGGCTACAAGGCCAATAGATTCTGAAAGTAAAGATGATGGATTTGAGTCCTACCAACACTACATTTAGCTATCATTCACAAACACCTTGTTAACTTTGCCGTACCTGAATTTTCTCATTTGTAAAATGACAATAATACAAACTACCTTACAAGATGTGATAGTATCTCATTTGTGATGGTCAAATGAGATACCATTATCACTTTATACAGATAACATTTTCATTGGAATCCTGGGCAGCTGTCAGTGAAATAAATAATAAGAGAAAACTGTCTTTCATATTTCCCAACACACCTGTATCTTCACACTGTCTTGGTGAAAAAAAAAAAATCAAAATAACAGTGCCACCTACTATGTCAAAGTAGAATACTCTAACTGCCAAATAGATGCTCATGAACTGTTTCAATGTGAAAGTAACATAAAACTTTTTAAGTCTATGCAGAGCACATAAAAAAATTTCCATTCCATTAGAAGCTTTCATACTTGCAAAACTAGCATAATGATCCTTAAATATGACACCAAATAATTTTTGCCAGAGACAGCCAACTGTTGAGCACGTGTGAACGACTCAACCACTGTCCCTTCTTCCTTGCTAAAATAACCTAATTTGTTACAGTGATGTGCTTGATCCCAGGAGATATACCATGGTAGTCCAAGCCACTCACAGAATTCCTATTCCCTTCTGCCAGTGACTGAACTAGTGGCAAACATGTCACCCAGTTCTGGCCACTGAAACTTGAAGATAATTCTGCTGAAGGGTTTCTGGGAAAGACTTTCTTCCCTGGTAGGAAACAAGCACACAAGAAGGCCCAATTTCCACCTGCCACTTCCCTTCTTACTTTGGTTACTGCAATGTGAGGGATGATGCTTAAAACTAATGTAGCCATTTGAGACTATGAGAAATACCCAGATGTCAAACCATTGTCAAGCCAATTAACCGCTTCTCGAATCTCACACTCCCAGATGTATTATTTAGTTCTTAACGTCTTTATTGCTTAGCCATTGTTTGTTGGGTATTGTTACTTCCATCCAAAGGCATTCTTGATAAATTAGCTCCTGTATGTCTGAAACTGTATTTATTTCACCTGCACTCTAGAATGATAGTTTGGTTGGACACCAGATTGACAACGGCTTTCCCACAGCACTGTTGTTGCAGTGTTCCAACATCAATTGTGGCTGAGAAGTCTGCTTCCATCAGATTATCATTTTCCATGGGTAATCTCCCCATAGCTTTTAAGGTTTCCTTTGTCCTTAACAGTCTACTATTGTTCTGTAATATAACTAGTAGTTGATCTGGCACTTCATAAGCTTCTTCAATCTGAGGGCTCGTGTCTTTCCTCAAGAGCGAAAAATTCTCAGCATTATTCTTTGATTATTTCCTCTATCACTTCTAGAATCTTCTTCTAGAATTCCTACCGAAACTGTATCAGACCTCCTCAATCTATGTTGTCTTCCTGGTTTCCAACACTGTATTTCTCCGTTCTGCATGTTGTGATGAGTCTCATTTCTATCTTTCAATTCACAAATTCTCCTTTCAGTTTGTCTAGTTTACTGTTTATTCAATTTATTGGGCTTTTAAAACTTCAATTGTTGCAGTTTTCATTGTCCAGATTCCCAACTTTTTAATCTGCCTTTGGGCAAATGTGTTAATAATCATGTTAATAATCTGATGCTCTTTAAAAATGTTATCTCCTCCTTGATCTTTTTGAAAATTGTAATCATAATAAATCCTTTTTGAGATTGCTCCATTATTTCTTTTTCCTTCAGTGTGAATTCTCCCATTCTGTTGATTATGTCATGGCAGATTTCCTTGCATGGATTTCATTTTATCTTGAATGGTTTTCCTTTATACCACACTCACTGTCAGATGATTTCATGGTTTTATCAGTACAGTCGTCTGGGATAAACAACTTAAACCAGGTCTTACACTCAGAGTTTGGGGTTTTTGCCCTTCAAGATACCATACTTAAATACAATCCAAGCTCAGTTCCTATTATCGAACCAGTACATCTACTTTTTCCCCAGGCCACAGGCAAATGACACTTTCTGGTGGTAGTCAGGCAAATTTATTTCAGCTTTAGTTCATAGATGAAGAGCCGAGTTCCAGCCCCCATCTTCATGCAGGAAGCTCAAATGCAATCTCCTGACAAGGATAAGGCATGCTTTAGTCTCAACTGATTATTTAGATTTCTTTCCTATCCCTTGTCCATAGCTGTCTATATATCTTTATATTTAAAATAACTTTCACTCATTATTATGTATTAGAAAGAAAGTTCTCTGCATACACTCACTCAGTAATCTTGACCAGAATACTCTCCATACCTCCCTATGCATCCTGATAGCAAGGAAAACTCTGATAGCTCATATGAAATTAAGATTCCTGATTCCATATACTGCATTTACAGTAATCTGAAGGGGGGGAGGGGTTAGAAGATTTCAGCAATCATACTCACAAGCAAGTCCCTTAAAACTTGATTCCCTACAACAAAATGAGATGATTCAATGAATTACAACTGACAGCAGAGAATGGAGAAGTAGCTGTTTTACATAAGCCATCCAAGGCAAGGATCTATGTAGAAAAATGGAAATACTACAGTATCTGAGGCCAAATTAACCAGGTACAAGTCTTAACGATAGCACTCATTTTTTACGAAACCATGGGCAAGATGCTTTTGTTATCATTCTAGGATAAAAACTTAAATGAGTCAATGTCTACAACTTTAATCAGAAGAAAAAAGGTGCTAGGCTCCACTTGAAAACACTTCCCAAGTGCTCTCCACTCATCCTGGTCTGGAGCTTTGGCTCTACTCTGCCACAGATCCATATGACCCTCATAACACAGAATGACTGCAGCTTCCAGAATCCAACAGATTTTTTAGCCAGAGCTCACTTCACAAGATACAAGTCAGTGAGGATTCACAAACCATTCATTCTCCAGAACAACTTAAGAATAGCATTGGCCAGGTGCCAATCACATCTGTAATTCCAGCACTTTGGGAGGCTGAGGCGGGCAGATCACGAGATCAGGAAATCAAGACCATCCTGGCCAACATGGTGAAACCCCGTCTCTACTAAAATACAAAAAATTAGCCGGGTGTGGTGGCGTGTGCCTGTAGTCCCAGCTACTCAGGAGGCTGAGGCAGGGAAATTGCTTGAATCTGGGAGGCAGAGGTTGCAGTGAGCCAAGATTGTGACATTGCACTCCAGCCTGGTGACAGAGCAAGACTTCATGTCAAAAAACAACAACAACAACAACAAAAAGCATTGCATCACATGTTTGGAAAAAAAGTACAGTGAAGGTCTTCCTTCAAAATATTCCTAGTTAAATGAGGCTTTCTTAGGTTCATTCAGTCAGAATAACAGAAATCCAAGAAATACCAGAAATCTGTTGTTATTTAGAAGAACAATAAGGTGATAGTATAGGAAGAAAGATCTGAAGCTTTGTTTTCTCCCTGGTGATATCTTCATAGGGAAATTTCCACATTCCTTGCAGAAGACATCCACAGATCTAAAATGCAATTTGTCCAGGTGCAATGGCTCACGTCTGTAATCCTAGCATTTCAGGAGGCTGAGGCAGGAGGATCACTTAAGATCAAGAGTTCGAGACCAGCCTGGGCAACATATTGAGACCCCATCTCTACAAAAATAAATAAATAAACAAATAAATAAAATACAATTTAAAAAATCATAATTAGCTTATTTTTGTTTACATTATATTCCTGATATATTCTCTGTCTATAGTCTTCCTTTGACATTCCACAAACTCAAACAGCTCAAACAGAGCTACCTATAAGAACACCTAAAAATACTTTAAGACTTGACATGATGAGATCTCAAAAATGCTTCAGTTGATACATTTAAAATAGAATAGCAATAGTTGCCACTTACTGAACATTTATTATTGTGACAAGCACTATACTTTACCCTAATTACCTCAGGTAATAACATAACTCTATGAATCGATATATTATTATCCCAACTTTATAGATGAGGATTGTGAGCCTCCAAAATAGTAAGCAATTTGCTCAAGCCCTCTTGTCTATTATGACCAATAAACAGTAGAGCAAGGATTTTAACCCAGGTCTGCCTCACATTATAGTAATAAGAGCAAATTGCATTAGAAATGAGAGAAATAAGTTAGTTGCAGAGTCAATTATGCCTATCAGTTTTGACCTTATTTTAAGTATAACTTATGAGCATTGTTAGATTAAAGGTCATGGCCTCGCTGCCTTAGGGAAAACAGCAAGGATGGGAAGCTGAAGCTGAAAATGGCAGGCAACAGATGTAGAGGGACTGTCATTTCCCCATACCTTTAATGATGCCAGTCAACTGGCAGTCTTCAGATTAATCTTGGACTTGTCTTTTCACAGCACAGCTGGTGTGTCATCTTTTACTTCCCTTCTCTGCTTGATTTCTTGCTGGATTCCAAAGAGTATTTTTCCAACTTACAAAAAGACGATGACTAATGTTTTTTACAAGGAGGTAAATCATGAAAAACCATTCCATGTAATCCAGGATTGGGTTTAACGTTGTAAATCTGTCTCCTAACATAAAAAATACTAAACCCAAAAAATAATCTAATGACATAAAGGAAATGATTTTAAAGAGCATACAGTCTTCAGTCGGTAGTTGTTTTTACAAGTATGTCAGGTCTTCCCTTGACTCAGAAATACTCCCAAGGGATTAAAAATACAGAGACACACACGCATAACCTGTCTCTGAAAGACACACAAGAAGCCGCTACCCTGGGAGATTCTGGGTGGCTGAGAGACAGAGAGAGGTAGGAGGCAGTTTTTTTTTTTTTTAATTGTATGCATTTTAATATTTTTTTAAATTTTGAATCATATGATTGTATCACCTAATCAAAAATCAACAAGAAAAACTTAAGAAATTATGTCCTTAACATTTTAATTTCCTGGTCATTACAGAGGAAGGAATAAATACACAGGATTGAATTAAAAGGATATATGAAAGTATAAAAATTATGTAAACTTTATTGTATAATGAAAGTCAAGGATGGTCACTGCACATTACCAATACCGTTTCATCAGCATTTTATAAACGCATTAACAAATCTGTGTTTCAAGAAATCCACTGGCTCCCAACCCAGGATTGTGGATCTCCTAAGCAGCTGCAAAGGTGGTGATAGTGCTTGATTTACTATATTTCACAAAGGTGCAAATATTAAAATACTAAATTCCATTGATTTTCATTGAAACAGTTATTGCAAACCAATCAGAAATTATGAACAGCAAATTTTAAAATTTCTTATAGAATTATAATCTAATTAGTGCTATCTGTTAAGTAGATAATATCATACAAACCACAGATTCTACAAAAGAGAAAACAATAGATATTCTTCGTGTTAAAAAGACCAGGAAATCACTAAATCTGTCTATAATAGTGATTGGAGTAAAGCGAAGAAGAACATTACAAGCTGTAAATTTACCTTCCAACCCACCTAGAGCAATGCTGAAAGGTTCATATCCTTCTGCTTCTTCTGAAGCAGGAAAATGACTGGGACCCAATGGCCTACCCCCAGTTTATTTACACTCACCCTTCTCCAAGTTTCTCTAAGACATCAAATACTTCTTCTGGTTGTTTGGTTAAACTATCTTCATCCAACTTTTTCAGCTGCCTGTGAATGAAGAAATATAAACACAAAATACGTTTTATTTGCTAGCAACTAAAACATAAAATACATCATTTATTTTATAATTAGTATCCCAGGAACTTCTCTATACAGTCTTTACTAGTTAAGATTTTTTTAAGAAACAGGGTATCACTATTGTCCAGCCTGGGGTGCAGTGGTGCATAGCTCACCGTAACCACAAATTCCTGGGCTCAAGCAATCCTCCTGCCTCAGCCTTCCAAGTAGCTGGGACTACAGGCTCCTGCCACTACGCCTGGCTAATTTTTTTCTTTTTTGGAGAAATGGAGTCTCACTATTATGCCTACACTGGTCTTAAACTCCTGGAGTCAAGCAATTTTCTCACCTCAGCCTCCCAAACCACTAGGATTATAGGCATGAACCATCCCATCTGGCCTATGGAAAGATGACACTTGTTCTGGGTCACTCTGATAAGCAAGCACATGGAGGGATGCCAAGAGTCAATCTTCAGTTCAAGTTGTATAAAGAATTTTCTAACAATTGCCAGGCGCAGTGGCTCACGCCTGTAATCCCAGCACTTTGGGAGGCCAAGGCGGGTAGATCACCTGAGGTCAAGAGTTCGAGACCAGCCTGACCAACATGGAGAAACCCTGTCTCTATTAAAAATACAAAATTAGCCAGGTGTGGTGGCTCATGCCTGTAATCCCAGCTAGTTGGAAGGCAGAGGCAGAAGAATCACTTGAACCCGGGAGACGGAGGTTGCGGTGAGTCAAGATCGCATCATTGCACTCCAGCCTGGGCAGTAAGAGTGAAACTCCATCTCAAAAAAAAAAAAAAAAGTTGTGTAAGAATTTTATAATAACAAAAATTGTCCTACATAATGGTTTGGACTGCCTTAAGAGGTCCCTAGGTCCCCTTTGCTGGAAAATGCAAATAGAAAACAAACTGTCATGTGGGCCAGGCATGGTGGCTCACTCCTGTAATCCCAGCTCTTTGGGAGGCCAAGGAAGGCAGACCACTTAAGGTCAGGAGTTCAAGACCAGCCCGGCCAATATGGTGAAACCCTGTCTCTACTAAAAATATAAAAATTAGCCGGGCATGGTGACACACGCCTATAATCCCAGCCACTCAGAACGCTGAGGCATAAGAATCGCTTGAACCTGGGAGGTAGAGGTTGCAGTGAGCCAAGATTGCGCCACTACTCTCCAGCCTGGGTGAAAGAGAGAGACTGTCTCAAAAAAAAAATTGTCATGTGGCTGAAATGCTATAGATTCAAGCATTCGATGTATCCTTCAAAATCTATTTAAATCTTGAGATTTCATGAATTAAAATTATATAATTATCTCTTCAGAAAAGGTGTTTAATGTAAGGTAATTATGAATTGAAACATAACTATGAACTGGACTACAGACTAAGGAAGACATAGGAAACCTTTGCTCTTCCATTAGCAAGTTGTTTGTTTGTCAAAACACATAAATTCTATAGGTATCACAGAAACAGAAAGTGCAAAGTGTACGTTTAGACATGATCAAAAGTGAAAAATCACTAGGCAGCTGAGAGTTTCAGATATACTCACAAAGACCTTCCCATGAGTAGACACACACCTTTGACTAGTTCCAAAATTCAAAGGTACTTGGCTGCTCACAATTTCCAGATAATTCAGATTCCTCTGACTATGCTAGACAATCATAACACACATGTGAGGTTGTAAATTAACACTTCTTTAAAACTCTGAGATCTCTAAAAATTACTAATGAGCTTAAAGAAGGAACTTGCCAAGGAATATGTATGTGTGTGTGTGTGTATGTGTGTGTGTGTAGTCTACACAATGGCTTCCTGAAACTACAAAGAACAACAAAGAATAGAGAGCTGAGGAAATGGTGAAATATGGAAGTAGTCACACTGGAGACTTCTTTGTAGGAAAAAAAAAAGGTTTAGACTAGCTGGATAATATCAATTATTACAAGAAAAGACTTAAATACACATACATATACACACACACACACACAAATGTGTACCTTCCTAAATAAAACAGATTAAAATCAGAAGACAAAAAATAAAACAAACCAACAAAAACCCTGACCACATCAAGTGTATCTACCAATAAACACTGATCTCAAAAGGACAATCTTACAGAAGTTTATGAATATCAAGGACTATGTACTAGAAAAATGGAGAACTGCTCCAAGTCAAAACTGCCTTAACTTAGTATCAACAAAACAAAATGATCACAGTGACCTTTGAAAACCAAAAGGTCCTAAAAATCAGATACCAATGACATCATAAAAACGCCTACCTTCAAAATGAAAAGGGATGAAGTGAAACTCCTCTTAAACTTCAGAACTGAAACTTCTATAAACTCAAGTCAGAACGAACATCTCATATGCCAGGGTTTTTCTGGTAAAGTCCTGACTTGTGATTGTATAAACAATGGACAATACCTCATTTCTCAAGTATAATCAAAGTTGTATAAACAGCTTATACAAAGGAAGATCAAATATGTTTCTTTGAAGTGTTGACTCTCTGTGGTTTACAAAATGCAAAAGTCACTATTTCAACTACTTCAGGGACCACAGCATAACAAAGGAAATTGACACTGCCTTGAGAGAGACAGCTGCAAGCTTCTGATAATACTTTGACAGACAAACTTTATAGGACTGCTCAGATACTTCTTTGAAACAACCTACGTGGTTTTTTGTTTGTTTTTGATCTGGGGCTATTAAAAACAACTTGAACTTAAGGCACTATTAACCAAGAAGTGGTCAAAATATATTTGCAAAATAGATTCACAAATGTAATGATGGGAATCACGAATTTCATCAGCAATCTTTGTGAATTATCACAATAAAACAGAATTTCACCTAAAAAGTATTACTGAATTATCAACATTTCTATAAAAAATATTTTGATAAGCGATTCATAATAATATTTTATACCATGATTCTTCACAGAACACTATTACCAAAACAGCCTAACTCTGATAATGCTGTTCTCTTATCTGGGACTTCCCCAGGTTCCAGACAGTTTCAGCACTTGCTCATAAATGAACAAGCCTGGTCAACAGAGCATCCATGGACCAAATACTAGTGGATGCTTCTCTCCTAAGTCAGATGGCCATGTGGATGGCCAGCATCCTAGGAATGCACTCTACACCTTCCACTATATCATTTTTTTAAATTATTAACTCTTATATGAGACACCAATCTGTCATCATTCACTTAATCACACACACACAAATGTCAAACTCATGAACACAAAGGGCATTTCCTGCACTGGGGTTGTTGGCAACACATGCCATCTGAATTTCTGAAAAGACACCTGTATCTTTCCAAACACAAATAATGGTGTCTATGAAGTAGTCACTTACAGGTTTGACTAATTCTCAAAGCTTTCTCCCATTTCAGAACTCCCATAAAGTTCATTTTATGTATAACTATTTCTTTTTCCACACAGAGTTTGATAAGGATTACAACAAATATACATGATAAATGGACAAAATTTTTAATAATAAAACTGTGTCCCCAGCTTACCCCAATTCATATGTTGAAGTCCTAACACCCACCATCTCAGAATGTGACTGTATTTGGAGACAAGGTTTTTAAAGAAGTAATTAAGATAAAATGAGGTCATATGGGCATGACTTAATCCAATATTACTGGTGTCCTCATAAGAGGAGATTAGGACACAGACAGGTATAGACGGAAGAACATGGAGACACAGGGAGATGGCTATCTACGAGCCAAGCAAAGGCCTCAAAAGAAACAACTCTGACAATGCCTTGATTTCAGATCTCTAGCCTTCCGAACGGTGAGAAAACAAATTTATGTTGTCTAAACCACCCACTCCATATACTTTGTCATGTCCTAATAAACTGATGTAAATGATAATAAAATTGATCTGCTTCAAATTAGGCAGTCTACTAGTTACAATGAGCAGGTAATCACCAGCCACTTAAGAACCCCGTCTTGCAATGCTCTTCTCTTGTACTTTATATAAATTTTTTAAAATCCAAAAGGTACAGGAATGAGCATGCCAAGAAACTTTAATCCTCTGCCCAAGATTATGTAACACAAGGCAAAGAGAGAAACAAAACTCAGATTCCTAATCCTCTTTTCAATTAAATCAAGGCCTCAGAGAAAGAAACCAAGAAGAACGAACGAACGTAGTTCAGAAAGAAACATAACTAGTGTGCATTTATATTTGGATCACTGTGGTACTATAGCAAATATCTGCTAACATACACAGAGACCTGTGAAACACGGGTACTTTCAGAGAGGCATCAGAGTGAGGCAGTTAAGAGCATGGCCGGGTGCGGTGGCTCACGCCTGTAACCCCAGCACTTTGGGAGGCCGAGATGGGTGGATCACAAGGTCAGAAGATCAAGACCATCCTGGCTGACACGGTGAAACCCTGTCTCTACTAAAAATACAAAAAACTAGCCAGGCGTGGTGGCACGCACCTGTGGTCCCAGTTACTCAGGAGGCTGAGGCAGGAGAATCGCTTGAACCTCAGAAGGCGGAGACAGCAGTGAGCCGAGATTGCGCCACTGCACTCCACACTGGGTGACAGAGTGAGACTCCGTCTCAAAAAAAAAAAAAAAAATGGACTTTGGACCAGACCCCACGGATATTAAAATCCTAGCTCTGCCTCTTGCTATGACTTCTCCCAGCAAATCACTACCCTGTCTGTATCTCAGTTTTATCATCTGTAAAACAGACATATAGGGATATCTACCACCCAGGATTGTTGTGAGGTTCAAATGAGTCAATAAACTGAACCATATGATATGAAGTTACCGTTTCTATGGTTCAAAGATGGTCAAATATCAGCAATTTCATATGCTTCAGCAGGAGACATGGAAAGCACTTAGAACAGTGCCTGGCACCCGCTAAGTGCAATATGAGTGTAATAATCATTACAATTACAGTCTCAGCACACTACGCTAGGGTGAATCCAAAGCCCATCCCAACCACCTATTTGCCTTCTGCAATGTTTGTGCACCTCAAACACCCCCAAGCTCAAACAATCCCTAGGAGTGCTGTCCAGGCAGTCAATCCTTTCTCTTCACCTCTTGGTTGCCCTGCACTTCCACACCCTGAACACTTCCTTCTTTAGAGCTCATTCTGCTGCAGGAAGTCAGACGTCTCTGTAAAATAGAAGTAACCACACTGCACCTCAGAGAAGCATGACTTCTTCGGTCTCTAGTCCCTACTTTTCTCCAGATGTGGCAGATTGGCAAAAGACCCGGGATTTCCACAAGGGAAATTCAGGAGATGAGATTTTCTAGGATCAGCCACCATTCTGATCTTGACCTAAAGCAATTCCAGGTACCACTAGGATCTGGTACTGATATTCACAAAACAACTGAGGCCTGAAAAGGGCACAGTCTGGCAGGGTTCAGTGACCCGGAGTAAAGAAGGAAACACGTTTCCCAACTGCTCTGGACCTCGGTCTCCCAATCTCGAAAATATCCTCTTATATCCTTACCTACCTCCCAATGTCAGGTTCTGAAGAGCTGAGGAGGATGTGAAGACCATTAGGAAGACACTCTGAACATCAGTAATAAAAGATGCCATCCTACAGTGGGGACACCACTAACAGCATCCTCTGAAATGCTACTCTCCACCATCCCCTCCCTTGCTAGACCCTCAACCGTTCTTCGCATGCCTTCAGCCTTAGGCGCAAAGCTTTTCCGCTCCACAGATCCCCACCACCGCACCCCTCAAGTGGGACTTGGGACCCTTGAAAGTCCACCCGGCCTTCCTCTTGGCCAGGTCTCGATCCACCCACTTAAAGAGATCCCTCACAGATTCTCACCCTGCTTCAGCATTCGCCCCTACCTCCGTGAGTTTCTGCTTGGAGAGCGTTCCCCCGAGTGGCCCAGCCTCAGCAGGTACTCTCCCTAACTTGTCCCCACGTTCCTCAGCAGAGTCTCCCCACGGCGAGTGCTCCCTGTAACCGGTCCCAAGTCTAACTCCCTTAGCAGATGCTCCCCTCAGCCGGACCCTCACCCACCAGACGTCCCCCCAACCCCCTCACTCAGCAGGTGCCCCATCAGCTGGGTTGCTTCGCTCCGGTGACTCCCACACAGGTGTCTCCCCTTAGTCAGTTCCCGCCTTTTCTTGCCCTGCCCCCATGCCCGTCCTCTTAGCCAGTGGACCCTCACCGGCGCGGCGGGTTCCTCAGCTGTACCGTCTCCATGGCGCTGCCGGCAGCCGCCCAGACCCGCTCACTGCTCCATCCTCCCGGCGGACCTCCCTGAGCCCGCCCCGCAGACCCTCCCACACTTCCGCTTTCCGCCCCTACCGGAAACGGAGCGCGGCGCGGGAGCGGGGCGGAGCCACGGCCCTGATCACGTGGTTCGGGCGTGAGTTGTGTGGCGCGGTGAAGCGCGAACCCGGAACCGCCAAGTGGTGAAGGCGCGTCAAGGCGGTGCCCGCTAGTCTCTAGGGTGTCGGCGGCGCTGTTCTCCTGCGATACTGGAGCTCACAAAATACTCGGTCCTCAGGCCGAGAACGCACCTCTAGCTGGGTCCTGGGCCCCATTTCACAGACTGAGATGCGTAAAGCGCCTCCTTTAGAAGAACTGACGATTCTTAGCAAACGAAGTTTTGCATGATTTTGGTGAGGCCGCGCTGCCCCAAGAACGCCTGGAGGTATTTGTGGTTTTCTGCCCTTTACCTGGTTGAATTCTGGCCCCAGCGGGTACGCTGCACAGTTTCTCCTAGGATGTTACAGAGCATCAACGCGCAAATTGCCCCACTGTCTTTCTTAAAGGCCTCTCCTTTATGTCAGTTTGCAGACATAAAAATAAGCAACATTAATTAAGCGTTTGCCATGTAATTGTCTTCATAGATTATTTAATCCCCCATGTCAAGCCTATAAGTTCATTCCCATTTTTATTTAATGATTTAACACAGTGCCTACACGTTTTCAGTGCTTTACCTCATTTAATACTCCTAACAACCTAGACGGTATTATTATTCCTATTTCATAAGGCCAGAGAGGTGAAGTATCTAGCCCAAGGTCACATAGCTTAGAGTATAGGTTTGGGGATTTAAATCCAGGTTGGTTTGATCTCAGGGCCTGCACCACCAAACTGGACAGCCATGGATGTGTAACCTCTTGTTGGGCCTGAGAGACAGACCTTTCTTTCCACTGAGCTCCTGCTTCAGCTATTGTACTTCCGAATGCCTCTACCATCAGTGAGTATTAGGAAAATGGCAGATTCTACCCAGCTGACCCATGGGGGAAAGTTATAGGAGAAAACTTAACCAGAGCAATCTCTCGCTGTTTTTAATTGCCTTGCTTTTCCCAAGGATATGCCATCTACAGAACATAACACCTGAGCACCTACCCTTCAGGGCCACCCAGGTATGGCATCCCATGCACCCAAAACGGGATAAAGGAGCCATTCCCTGACATAGAAGGAAAACATTTACTGAGAAGCTACTGTGTGCCAGACACAATCTTGGACTTTCACTTAATCCTCAAAACAGCACTATGAAGAAGTAGCTACCGTTAACAGATAAGAAAGCTGAGACCCACGGTTTCCACAGCTAAGGAGAGCAAAGGTTTTAACCCAGGACTGTCTTGACTCCACAACAGCAAAATTGTTGTTTTGTTTTTGGTGTTTTGTAGAAATAGGATCTCCCTATTATTACCCAGGCTGGTCTCAAACTCCTGGGCTCCAGCAGTCCTCCCACCTCAGCCTCCCAAAGTGCTGGGATTACAGGCAAGAGCCGCCACACCTGGCTGAATAGGAATTGGGTAAACATTTTTGAAAATTAAATACCAAATTACCATTGCACAATGCCAAACATCTCTCATTTGTCCCCTTCCCAGGGTTTTTCCAGAAGATGGACTCACATTATGATGGTCCCCCCCAACTTTTTTTTTTTTTTTTTTTTTTTGAGACGGAGTCTCACTCTGCTCTGTCCCCCAGGCTGGAGTGCAGTGGCCAGATCTCAGCTCACTGCAAGCTCCGCCTCCCGGGTTTACACCATTCTCCTGCCTCAGCCTCCTGAGTAGCTGGGACTATAGGCACTCGCCACCTTGCTCGGCCAGTTTTTTGTATTTTTTAGTAGAGACGGGGTTTCACCGTGTTAGCCAGGATGGTCTCGATCTCCTGACCTCGTGATCCGCCCGTCTTGGCCTCCCAAAGTGCTGGGATTACAGGCTTGAGCCACCGCGCCCGGCCTGATGGCCCCGTTTTTCCACAGAATGTTCCCAGTGAAAATTACTGAAATGATGGCAATGTTCTAAATATGTGCTGTACGAAATAGTAACCATTAGCCACATATGGCTACTGAGCACTTTAAATGTGGCTAGCATAACTGAAAGGCCAAATTTTTATTTAAGTTTAAATTTAAATTTAAATAGCAAACTATGGCCAATCATAACAATAGCTTAAGAGAGAAATGGTGAGCAGGGTTACTGGGAGAGGTATTTTCCTATAAGCTCTGGATATACAGTTGACCCATGAGAAAACAAGGGTTGAACTGCATGGGTCCACTAACACAACCCTTGTTTGTTGTTTTTTATTTTTTCAATAAATACAGTCAGCCCTCTCTGTCAGAGGGTTCCACATCCACAGTGAAACATGGTTGGAAAATACAGTATAGGATGTGAAACTTGTGTATAGGGTGGGCTGGCTTTTCATTTCCAGGGGTTCTGCAGGGTCAACTACAGTACATGAATATACTCAAATTTTAGTATCCTAATAGATCCTGGAACCAATACCTGGTGGAAACTGGGGGATGATTGCAGAACAGTATTCAAGGGACTAGGCGTGATGGCTTGCACCTGTAATCCCAGCACTTTTGGAGGCCAAGGCAGAAGGATTGCTTGAACCCAGGAGTTCAAGACCAGCCTGGGCAACATGGTGAAACCCCTTTCCTACAAAAACCTTAGCCAGGCATGGCATATTGTGTAATGCCATTTGCATGACCCACATGGTCACCCTGGACCCCATGGATCAGGCCCTGCCTGATGCCACCACCACCACTTCTCTGCCAGGCCCCCAGCGTGATACAAGTTGCATGATGCTCTTTGCTGTAGTGCCTTTTAATGGCATAGCTTTGGCAGGTTTGGAGATGTTCAGAATAGGCAAATCTATAGAGCCTGTGGTGGATTCGTGGTTGTCTAAGGCCCTGGGGGAAGGGAGCATAGGTGAATTGGAGGGGACGATTAAAAGGTGTGAGATTTCATTTTGGGGTGATGAAAATGTTCTAAAATTGGTTGTGGTAATGGTTATACAACTCTGAATATACTAAAAGGCATTGAATTGTACACTTTCAATGGGTGAATATGTGTGAGTTATATCTCAATAAAGCTATTTTACCAAAAAAGACACCTCTTCCCAGAAGACTTCTCTGTTCCCTTGTCCCTCCCCTGACCCTCTCATCTGTCCCTCCTTCAAATTATTTCAGTACTGTTTTTATCAGTCCTGGCATTTATAGGAAGCATTGCAGGAAGGGATTTCCAGGTATTGACTGCTGTATAAGAAACCACCCCAAAGTTTATAGACATAGAACAACAGTCTTTTTTTCTTCTCAGAAATCTACAATTTGAGCATGGCTCAGCAGGAAGGCTCATCTCTGCTTATGGTGTCAATCAGGATCAGCCATGTCCAAAAGGCATCTCATACAGCTGACAGGTTGGTGCTAGCTGTTGGCTGGAAGCTCACTTGGGTCTGAAGGCTGGGGGCATCTCCACTTTTCTTGAACTTCCTCACAAAATAAAGCCTGAGTTCTAAAGCATGTTCCCGAGGGAGAGCCAAGTGGATGCTGTAGTGCCTTTTAGTGGAAGATACTTAATGTCATTACCACAGTGGAGGGGAGCCACAAAGGTCCACCCAGTTTCAAGGAGAAGAGATGTAGACTCCATCTCCTCATAGGGCAGTGGCAAGGGTCTGGAAGAGCTTGGGGAACCAGAAATATTATTGGAGCCATTTTTGGAAAATAAAATTTGCCACAGCTACACTTATCCGATAAACCACTCAGGAAATATTCAGCTGCAAGCAAGTTAAAACATCTAAATGTTGGCTTAAAGCACCATGGCATTTACTGTTTGTTTTGGGACAGAGTCTTGCCATGTTGCCCAGGATGGAGTGCAGCAGCATGATCTGGGCTCACTGCAACTTCACCTCCTAGATTCAAGCAATTCTCCTGCCTCAGCCTCCTGAGTAGCTGGGATTACAGGTGCGTGCCACCATGCCCGGCTAATGTTTGTATTTTTAGTAGAGACAAAGTTTCACCATGTTGGCCAGGCTGGTCTCAAACTCCTGACTTCAAGTGATGCACCTGCCTCGGCCTCCCAAAGAGCTGGGATTACAGGTGTGAGCCACCACACCTTGCCTTTATGGTTTATTAATAAGTCAATAAGTCAGCAGTTGATTCAGTGACTCAGCAACATCTATTTCATTTTTCCCCTCCCATCCTACTCAGCATGTTGGCTTTTTCATACTTGTGTTTATTGCCTCATAGTTGCAAAATGGCTGCCATACCGCCACGTATCATATCCTTAACTCAGCACTACCAAAGCCAAAAGACAGCAAGAACAGCTACTTGACCCAGTACCTCTCTCTTATAGGGAGGGAAAGCTTTCCAATAAACACCCAACAGACTCTTTTTTTTTTTTTTTTTTTTTTTTGAGACGGAGTGTTGCTCTGTCGCCCAGGGTGGAGTGCAGTGGTGCTCACTGCAACCTCTGCCTCCCGGATTCAAGCCATTCTACTGCCTAAGCCTCCTGAGTAGCTGCAACTACAGGTGCGTGCCACCATGCCCAGCTAATTTTTTCTATTTTTAGTAGAGACAGGGTTTCACTGTGTTAGCCAGGATGGTCTCTATCTCCTGACCTCATGATCCACCCGCCTCGGCCTCCCAAAGTGCTGGGACTACAGATGTGAGCCACCGCACCCGGCCTCAGACTCCCTTTTATCTCATTGCCCAGATCAGCGTCACATGTGCATCCCTTGATGAATCACTGGCAAGAGAAAATGACATTTTTCTGATTGGCTTAGAGCAATCCCGATTCACTTCCCCAGCCTGGGAGAGTCTCAGGCAAAATTCAGACTCCTGGAAGCAAAGATGGAAGTCATTGAGTAGCCAGCCAGCAGCATGGGCCTCATCTGGTTTTCCCACCACAGTCAGCGTTCATCCTTGGTGGGGGCAAGGGGCAAGGGGAAGCATTTCAGATGGAACATCCACCCAGCCCTCAGAAAGCTTATAGTCTGATGGAGTTAAGTGTATGCACATCATTATAACTGAATTCCTGAAGGTAGAGACTGGATCTTTATCAGTGACTTTTATTGAATGCCAGACCCTATCAGGGTCTTGGATAAACAAAGATAAAGCGGACCCAATTCCTACCATTAAAGACCTCACAGTGTTTAAGGAAAACTACAAACTGGCAATCGAAGGGTGACAAATGCAAAGTTAGGAATAAAGCTAGAGACCAACAGGGAGCAAAGGGAGCATAGTAGGGGTGGGGAGGAGGCTGGAATCAGGAAAGGCTTTCAGACAAGATGATGTTTGAATGGAATGTTATAAGTTAATTCAGGATTAGGCAGGAGAAAAAGTATTTAGAAAAAAAAATCCAGGAGAAGGAGATAACAAGCAAAGGCTAGGAAGCAAGAACTTAGTGTGTGTAGATAGCAATGCATGGGACATGGAGACCTCAGATGAAGCTGGAGATAAATAGAAATCACCGACCGTGAAAGATCTTCATCCACTCTGAAAGTTGATCATACGAATTGGGTCATTCTTGTCATATCCAACTAAGACAGAATTGAAAAGCCAGGGGAACAAATACTCAGGGCATATAACATTGCTCCAAAAAAGTAATTTTTTGCAAGCCTGGCTGCTAAAACTGCCTGCTGTAACCTAAAACCAGTTTTACCTAATAGCTACTGAAACAGCCTGCTGCAATTCTGAGTTTTATCCACTGCTATCACTTACCAATCAAAGCTTGCCAGCCCCCAAGAAGCTGATAAACCCCCACTTTACTAGTGCCAGTAAACTTCCTTGAAGAGCAATATGTAACATTTCTGTTTTATAAAATCTCCAAACCTCTTTGTTCTTCTGACGTACCAAAGACAACCCGGTTTGTGTGTAAGCCCTGAATTGCAACTCTTGATTCCCAAATAAAATATTTAAACTTTAGAGATTCATCGCTATATGTTGACTTTGACCCCATCAATCCACCTGTGCATTCATTTATTAAATAAATATCTATAGAGCACTAGGTGCCAGGTACTTTCTAGCCTTGGAACCTTTGCACTTACCATCCCTCTGGCTAGAACAGCATTCCCTAAATCTTGTCTGGTCTCAGCTCAATTATTACCCCATGAGAAAGGCCTTCCCTCATCCCCTTATTTAAAATAGCCCACACGTGGTCACTTTCCATTGCATTATCCTGTTTTGTTTTCCTTACAACACTAATCACATGAAATTAGAGTCTTCGTTTGCTTATCAGTTAATTGCCTGTGGGGACCCCACTAAGACATAATCTCCCTGATAGCGGGGCCGGCCTCCCTCCCTGCGTCATTCACAGCATTCTAGCAACGCAGGGAGCCCAGAGCATGCAGCCGCCCGGCGTGCAAGTCGTCTAAATTCCAAACCGAGCACGCGCAGAGGGCGGGGCGCGCCGGGCCTCCAGGTCTCACAGGCCCCG